CACTTTATTGGCGCTATAACTTCTTCTCTTTTAAATTCCAAAAGTGTCGATACTTATAATAAATTATCGACACTTTTAACATAACCTGTAGCGCTTTACCTGTTTTGTCATTTCGAGACCGATTTTGTCATATTTTTACATGTTATATTGTTATGGATCGATACATTTTTATAAAGTATCGACACTTTATTGGCGCTATAACTCTTCTCTTTTAAATTCCAAAAGTGTCGATACGTATAATAAATTATCGACACTTTCAACATAACCAGTAGCGCTTTACCTGTTTTGTCATTTCAAGACCGGTTTTGTCATATTTTTACCTGTTATATTGTTATGGATCGATACATTTTTATAAAGTATCGACACTTTATTGACGATATAATTTCTTCTCTTTTAAAAAAGGTAAAATTTACCTGATATGTTGAAAGTGTCCATACTTTTTATAAAAAGGATCCATACTTTTTTTAAAGTTATGTAATTTATGTTTCAATTTTTTTTAATAGTGTTTCATGTTTTCCACCAACAATATTAATTTAATAATTTCATTTACACAAAAAAATTATTTGATTGTTTTGATATTTTATAAAATATTATTTAGAATTTAAATTTAACAATATGTTTAGGTAGAAAATGTATTGACACATATTTAGGTAGTTATTGTATATACCTAAATATGTACTGCGAATTTAATGTTGTATCCACCATTTAACTACCATTACCAATAGCACATCCTATTGAAAGCAGCACGACTGAAACATGTTCAAAATGAACCTTTTATTACATCTCCATCAACTCCGGGACCACTGAACTTGCACAACAAAATTTTTGCCATGGATCATACTGATGTAGACAATGTTAAGCCAACCGAGGAATGCCATGAAGTACATAATGTTGATGAATCTGACAGATTGGTTGGTCAGCTCTTCTGTTCACGTGATCAAGCTTGGTACTTTTACAAGGGATTCGCACGGGAACATGGGTTTAGTGCACGTAAGGGAACAACACGGCTTGACGTGGAAGGGAATGTGAAGACACAAGAATTTTGTTGTTCTAAAGAAGGGTTTCGAGGATCAAAAGTCAATAATGTTGATCGTCAACGTGCTCATACGCCAGTCACAAGAACAGGATGTAAGGCTAGAGTCTTAGTTACAACAACAAATACAAACGATCAGTGGGTTATAAGTAAGTCTGATCAGAAACATAATCATGCATTGTGCACACCTGCTATGACACCATTTATGCGTTCTAATAGAGCTGTAAGTAAGGCTGATATCGATGAGGCAACAACATTGAAATAGGTCGGTGTTGGCACGTCACAAGTAATGAACTATTTAACGCAGCAGGCAGGGGGCTATCATAATGTTGGATTTACACATAAAGACCTCTATAATGCACTTCAAAGAGGTAAAGTAAAGGAAATCGTCGATGGGGATGTGAATGCGCTTATTGCCTACTTTGATTATAAGAAACATGATGATCCCGGGTTTTTTATGACATACTCGGTAGACGAATCGGGGGCATTGTATAATCTTATTTGGTCGGATTCTACATCGAGATCGGATTACACAGGCTTCGGTGATGTAATTGCATTCGACACAACGTACAAAGATAATTTGTATGGTCGACCAATTATGCCTATTGTCGGTGTCAATCATCACCATAACACAATTGTGTTTTCCACTGCCATAATCGCTGACGAGACGTCTCAATCTTTCGAGTGGGTGCTACAGAATTTTTTAGAAGCCATGATGAATAAATCACCTATTTCAGTTGTCACCGATGGGGATAGGGCAATGCAGAGGGCTATCAGATCTGTTATCCCTTATGCTAAGCACATATTATGTTCTTGGCATCTTTCTCGCAATGCACAAGCTAACATTGGTGACCTAAAGTTTACAGCAGCATTCTCAAAATGCATGGCTTCTTGGTGGACAACCGAGGAATTTGATATTCAATGGCGTTCGATTGTTTCAGAATTCAACGTCCAAAAGCATCCATGGGTGATTGAGAAGGGAAATACACGACACTTATGGGCACAAGCATACCTATCCGGTCATTTCTTTGCCAATATTCACTCAACACAAAGGTGCAAGTCTATGAATGCTTCACTAGCGATTGCACTGAAACACAAGAAGACATATTTAGATGTTGTTCGTGCAATTGAAGATGGAATTAGTAGAATGCGTATTAACGAGTTGAAAGCGGATTACTTAAGTTCCCATACGAAGCCCTTCTAGATCACAAAACTGGTCGACCTTGAAAGCCATGCCGCTGCGATTTTGACTCGCGAATCTTTTTGTGCGTTCCAAGATGAACTTATACGTGAGACATTATACCAGATTGAGGCAGAGATTAAGTCCTTATCAGATGAATGTCAACATTATATTTTGTCAAAGTACGCAGAAAAAAAAAGGAAATTTGAAATTAGTTTTGATTCTCGTACGAAAACTCTAATTTGCTCCTGCAAAAAATTCGAGACCGTTGGACTTCCGTGTCGCCATCAACTTCACATTTTGAAGCACTTGGATTACACATATTTTCCCGGGACTTTGATTCAAAGTAGGTGGACTAATGATGCGAAGGCTTCTGCACCCAGTTATGTTGACATGAATGTGTCTCCAGAAGTGATGCAGATGGCAAGGTTCGCTGCTCTACGTTCAACATCAAGTAGGTTATGCTACATTGCATCAAAGACAGACGAGTCTTTCAAAACCGCAAGAGATGAGATGAAAAAACTAATAGAAGAATTAGAAAACTCGTTTGGTTTGAATGATTCAGTCAACCAGAGCATTGTAGTAAACAATGTTCGTGACCCTCAACGAAAACAACGCAAGCGAAAAGAAGTGCCAAAGAACAAGGTCGAGAAGAAAATTAGGCGATGTGGGTACTGCAACGGTGTGGGACAAAACAAACTAATATGTCCTCAAGTCAAGCTCAGTTTAAGTACAAGCACACAGCCTACATCAACTGATTTTTTCGAAGACGGAATGGAATGACAACGATCTCCATATATCGTAAGTATCAACATAACTCTTCTCCTATTGTGTATAAGATGTACATATAAATATTGAATAAAGGAAGAAAAACCGCGTTACTTAAAAGTATGGACACAATATTAAAAAGTGTCGATATAGGTTGTAGACCTATTCTCTCATAAAACCGGTATATTTATACCAGTTATATTAAAAAATTACCTATTACATTATAATTGTGGGTTCTGATGTTTTTTCAATCGACATTTTTTGAAAAGGTATCGACACTTTTTTCATCCATTCTGGACATAAAGTAGCGACACAATATTAAAAAGTGTCGATATAGGTTGTATACCTATTCTCTCATAGAACCAGTATATCTATACCGGTTATATTATAAAATTACCTATTACATTATAATTATGGGTTCCGACGTTTTTTCAATCGACACTTTTTGAAAATGTATCGACACTTTATGCTGATATTTTTTTGGGTATAATGAAAATTTAGCCATTACAATATAATTATTGATTTCGATGTTTTTGGGGTCGTTACTTTTTATATATTGATCGACACTTTATGGGAGACTTTAAGTTTGGATACATTTGCAAGCAAATGTAAAATACATTAATAACTAGTATTAATATTTCAACAATCCTCAAATATATATGTATACAGAGAAGCAAATATGGAATAATTAATGAAAATATACATACAATATAATCAAACCAAAAGATACATACACAACAATGTTCAAATAATGTACCGACAAACGAAATTAATCCGATGAAAAAGGGTTATTTCTAACGAATTCCGGAACATTAGGGGCCTTCAACAAATTTTCCAAATACTCTCGTATGTTTCCGCCTTTTTCTGAGGACATACACAAATAATTTCAATTATCAAACTACTTCTCTTTTAAATTAACGAAGTGTCGATCCTTATATTAAAGTACCGACACTTTAAATATATTCGGTACCGCTTTACCGGTTTTATCATTTCAATATGATTTTGTCATAGTTTTACCTGTTATATCGTTGTGGATCGATACATTTTTAATTTGGATCGACACGAACCGACAAGTTAAGTTTGCCGGTTGTATAATTTTTTAATATTTCTTCATGACTTAGACCTACTACATTATTATTAGTCAACATTTTCGATAACGCTAAACCGAATTTATTAAATATCTTTTAATATATCTAATAACATCGTATATTAACCGTATATTAATCTGCCGTCCCGTCATACATGACCACAGTTTGGCAACCAAATTCAATTCCACGACCATTGTGATTTCTTACAAAATCAATGATTGACGGACAAGACAACCAATTAATAGTAAAGCTGACTCGAACAGTTTCTCGCTATCATAGTCACATCCATTAAAAACGACGCCATTTCTACACAACCAAACAGTTCAGACAAATCCAATAAAGGACAAGTTCCATAGCTGCTTAAAATTTCTACTAATCGGTTGGAAATTCCATACAATAAGGAAATCAAAACTAAAATTTATTAAACAAATTGGTTAATTTAAAAACAGATCAAATTATTCAAAATCATTTCAGTCCAATTAATGATTTTTTATCAATAATTTGATCCGATTAACAGTGAAGAATTTTAAAAACATAATTAATTCAGTTAATGCATAATCATTTCAATTATTAATCGAACCGATCATTTTAATACTCTATTTTAATTTATTGGATGGATAAACTAAGCTGCAATTTCAGTTTTTTAACATTATTTTTTTAGTCTCTGTCTTAAGCTGCAATTTCCTTTATTAAAAATAAACATACAAACAAATATATACAGCAAATGTAGAAGTAAGTTGTTTATTGAATGGATAATGAACACATATTAGAATAGTGTTACACTATTAGAATAGTGAATGTTATGTAACAGAAAAAAAAAGTCTAAAATTGTTATTATACAATTTAATACTCAGTAATTATCATAATAACATATTATTATTATAATCATAGAAAACATAAGACAATCGAAAACGACTACAAAATTAAAATCCGTTATCTATGATTCTACTACAATCACCACTGCCCATTATTTTCCTCTTTCCACATTTCAACCCAGTTGCGTTGAGCTTCTTCCAATCCCAGCAACGAACCCTTCCTCTCCGAGTCCCAACTGGAAGACAACGTCCCATAAGCAATCCCAAGCGTCGATGCCCCAAACGTTATGAGTGTAGTTAAGAACGGCAACCACAACGGCACGTCCCACAAGTTTCGATCTTTTGCTTCGCCAAACAGGTGCAGTAAAGCCAAGCCAGTGGCCATCGGAACTCCCACCGATACCAAAATCCTCCTTATCATCCTCTCGAACACTACCTGGGGAATTTCCTCGTCCTCACTTTTGTTGTTTTTATTGTTTGAGCTCTTCTTGGCTGCACTATCTTTGACCGGTGGTGTGCCGGAAAATCCTTTGGCATTGGCGTGCAGCTTCCATGATTGGTTTTGTTTATGGGTTTTGATGATTGCAGGGAGGATAGTTGCGGTTCTTGGATTCCGCAGAGATGGCTTTGGAAGGTAAAATTGCTGGGTTTCTGAAGAGAGTAAAGTCTTCATTGTTTCTTTCAATTAGCTTCCTTCCAAAGAAGCAGTTTTTAATCTTCTTATAACATAACAATCAGCACCTTATCCAAAACATTGAACGGCAGTGCTTTCTCTTATAGTTTTCATATCAGATATTTTTGGTTCCATATTTGGCGTGTAAAGTTTGTGGAAAAAAATGTAATTGAAAAATAAAATTATATAGGGTAAAATACACAAATGGTCCCTCAACTATAGAATACTATTTTTTGAGTCCCTCAACTATTAAAGGATAAAAAATAGTCACCCAACTATAAGACATTGTTCCGTTAAAAAGTTAACGATAGTCTGAGTTGAACGTTAACTTGCCGACTGAGATATGATAAAATCTGATCTCATAATCTCAAACGACTACATATCTCAGTCAACATGTTAATGTCATGCTCAAACAATCGTTCATTTTTTAACTGATCAAGATGGGTTTAAAACATAATGAATAGTTTGATGATCATTTTGTAACTTTTAATAATCGAACGACTTAACAAAGCAACATCTTATAATCGAAAGACTATATTATAACTTTTAAAAGTTGAGAGACACAACAAAATAGTACCTTATAGTTGAGGAACCGTTTATGTACTTTACCTAGTTATATATTCTGTTTTTTAAGAATACAAAATTATATCAAATCCAACATTAGAATAATATTGGACATTAGAGTGTCTTGAGTTATAAGAAGAAAAAAAAAGATTTAGACTATTATTGCATGAATGAAAATAGATGATTGAGATTGACTCGTTTTTTTTTCTAGTAAACATCTTTTTATTTCCTACTGTTAATCTCATCTATCTATTTTCACTCATCCATCAATCCTAAATCTGTGTAAAATTAAAAAAAATTTACATTGTAACATGATCCTATATGTATATATTCAATTATAAAAAATGATTTTTTTTTTATTTTCGGTTACCAAAATAAACTTTTTATGATTAGGTGATAAACTGTAGTTTATGCTAATATTATATTATACTTCATCAAGGAAAGATGATTGAAGGGAAGAATACACCAACGATCCTCACTCCATAAACAAGTTACATTTGATGGAGAGAGACAAAACAAAAGAAAGGATACATTTGATGGCAGCCAGCAAAGGTTTTTTTTTTTTTGAGCCTGCCAAATACAAAAACCTTGGAAGAATGGTAGACGAAATGATACACAAATATGTTGCACAGAGACAACTTGAGCATTCATTTTGATGAGCCTGTTTTCTGTTTTTGTGGTCTCTGATGGCTCCTTGGGAACAACAAGTCGTTAAGTTGTCTCTCAGCACTATACTCTGAGGTGGCCTGCAAACCCCAATTCAATTAAACAAAGGTGCCATACTTGAAAAAGTTCCAACAAAAAAAGGAAAGGTCACATACCCGGGAATTAAATGCGAATCTTAAGGTTTCAATTTGGGTTCCACTGCAAGCTCTCAGCACAAACCCAAGGGAATCCACACTGATAATAGCTACCTCCTATAATTGTTTGCAAACAAAATGAATCATTTTTAAGAAGTATTAGCTAACCAAAAAACAAATGATACTACGTCAGCTAGATTGGTTCCTCTTATATAACCATATATCCATCTTAAATGGTGAATGACAGGGATGGATACAGGATTTTACGCTTAGGGAGGTGAACTTATAAAATTTTAGGGAGAACAAAAACAAATTATCAATAGAAAATACAAAAAAATAGTTAAATTATAAGAGACGGTCGCCCCCTTGGTCCATCCCTGGTGATGGACAGACAACTTAGAAGAGTATAAGTCGAGTTGAACAGGGTAGCTGTAGAAGAACATCAAGACAGTGGACTTTCATCCCTATGATGATTTCATACCCTTTAAATTATTTCTTTTTACCTCCACTTGAATACCCTTGCATCTCAAACAGAGTGATTTGAGTGCTTGCGTGGTCTTTTCTCCACCAGCTTTCAAGCGAGATATAATCTTGGAAGCTGCGTGTGCAATAGCATCAGGTTGAGCTTGATTGAAGTCTTCTAGTTCAACATCTGTCTGGAGAATCAACAGAAATCAATTATCATCCTGAAATCTTATATGGTGTGGTAAAAGGCTAAAAAGAAAATTACATAAATAAATAAAAAGTGAAAACTCTAATGACAATAGCAAAGGCAGGTAGAAATAAAAGCATATGATTTGTCACATAGAAGTTGATGCAAAAAGTACTATGAATATAACAGGCTGTATCATAGAGAACCTTTAATGTTGCCAAAAAGGCGATAAGCCTATACATCTTCACAAAATCCTGGACTTGGTAGCACTTAAATTGTTCTGAGGAATGAATGTTCTATGTCCAAAAGATGTATCAAGCAAACCATATATTTATAAAAGAATGTCTCTTGATTACAGCTATAAACAATGCATATCAATCACCAGCATGATTATTCTATCTGAGGAAAACGAGACCATAAACATTGCTAATATCTCACACACATAACATGGATGTCCATAAGTTAATAAAACCAAATTTACAGGAGGAAAGGAATGATAACCGCTGAAAATAAAAGCCTTTTACAAACCTGATGTCCATGTGCTGTGATTAGCTGAATTTTAATCATCTCTAATTTGTAAAACGAAGACCCGTTTGTTGATATATCATTTTTCTCTGATTCTTCGGATGTTGAACTATCTTTTGATGATTCTGATTCATTTCTGCAACCATTAATTATGCCAAGATCTTCTACTTTGTATCCCTCAACTTTCGCATCCTGATGATTTGTAGCAGAATCATGAGACTGATTAGTAGACATATGCTTCTGAATTTCAGAATGTTCTTCAGTGAAGGCAAGCCTTAGAAGGCCTTGGATAACTAAACCATCCGAAGGCTGTTCCATCCAGTCTATAGGATCATCTGAGGCAACCTACGAAACATAAATTAAGAGAAACCATTGTGAAAATGTCGTCAGAACAAACCATGCATAAAAGATATTTTCTTCAAGATACAGATGTGACCATGGGGTAAGGTACTTAATGCAAGTTAGTAAATGCTATATACAAGTCGTCTTCCTAATACTGCTTCCAGGCTAATTTGCATTTAGTATTAAACATGAAGTACCATTACCTCAGTCAACTTTTTGGCAAAGTACATAGGATGGGATGAACGCATTGTCTCCAATTTTGCCCAGTCTCCTAGAGTCCCATCAGAATCATCTTGATCAGCTTCATCTTCAAAAGCAGCAATCCACTCCTACAAACAAAAAATTAATATTTGAAAGGAAAAGCTAAATCCGTCTTCATATTTGAGAGCTAAATTCATGCATAAAGTTAATATGAAAGGAAGAGGGAGAAGGGAAATGGTCAAACCTCATCATAATCTTCATCATCGTCGTCGTCGTCGTCGTCGTCGTCGTCATCATCTTCATCTTCAATATCAATACCTTCATCGTCAATTTCCTCAATTCCAAAATCAACTTCTGATGGACCTGATAACTCAATTTCCTTCATGATTTCTGTAGTGTCAAATCCTATAATGACTTGCTGCATTACATGAATTAAATAAGCTTTAAGGAACACAGTAGCAAAAAAGAGGACTCTTTTGTTAACATTTTATGTTGGGCACCAACTCAACTCAAAATGATGCCCATTTGCGTGTTAGAATGATGTAGTCATTAAAATGTCAGATCAAGGATATTAAATAGAATATGCAATGCATATGTCAAGAATCAGTTATGAATTGGTTGCATGGAAAAACAGCACTAACGTCAAATTGGAAAAGAGAAAACTGCGTGCAAGATCTAAATACCATCTTGAGACATGCATACAAGTCATGCATTAGCAAAATTATGAAAGAAAAATGTTGCATACCACAAAGTTATTTTCTACAGTAAGACTTTGCAAAATATCTTCATCACTTTTCACGTGCAGGTATACATCTGCAAGGCATCAGAGAAAAACTTCAATTTGCAAATTGAGGCTGTCAAGCTCAAATACTTGAAACAGGAATAGTCAACTTACTTCCATGCTCATCGGTTGCATAAGGCAAGTCTGGCCACATAATATTTTCATGAACTTCACCATTGATCATCCCTGAAAACATAACTGTTGCTTTACTATTCACCTGAAAAAGACATAAGACAGCCAACATTAGCCATACAAACAGGCTGAATAGCAGGAATCAGAAACATAAGAGTACATATTCCAAATGTTAACCAAACCAAAATGCATAAAATACATCTAATTTACGATTCTTCAAAAATAACAAACAAGAATACCATATACAAAATACAAACATGTTATTTACAGTAAAGCCATTCCTAAGGAAGTTGATTCCATTATCAATAATGAATGCGATACCTCAACGATCGTCCTAGAGGTTTCTGCAGCTGTGAGTGTAGCATCATCACTATTTTTAGACGTAGACTCACCAATCTCCTCAAAAGGATGGAAATTTGACCTTCCATTCTGCTTGGCAGGATCAGATGCTGAACCTAAATGCTCTGCTGTTGCTCGAATGTTGTTCTTTATCCTTCTCGAAAGGGAAGCACTATTTAGCCTTCCAAATCCATTCCTGCAAAAGCAACTCTTAGGTTTTGCTTGGCAAGATGGAAAGGTAATCGAAAAGATGGAGAATTGAAGGAGTAAAAAAGTAGAAAGATGGAAAAGAATATTTTTTTTTTATAGAAATAGGGCCTCATTAAAAAACCCCTTCATAACCATTAAGCTCCTAGAAACTCAATGATCATAAGAAGGAGGAGAAGAGTGCCCAAAGATTTATTACTATAGCAATAGATACAACTAGTTCAGAACATAAAATACAACATAAAACCCCTTTAAACCAACCCCAAAGACAACCACCAAATACAAACAAAACACAAACCCTTGTGCTATCCTATGCCTGATTTAGCTAAACGATCAGCTTCCACATTTATACATCTGTTAACAAGCCTAGTAGTTACATTGAACTGACTAACTAACTTGGCTATAACTCTGACCACTTGAACATAAAGATCTGGACATGTCTCCGGATTGTAAGAATCACTCTCTAGAATTAGACTTCCTTTATCCCTCCAAACCGATTTCAAAAACAAATCTTTTAGTAGGAAAGATGGAAAAACTGAAAGAAAGAATAAAAAACTTTATATTCACTGCATAGTATGAAAAGTGAGAGGATATATATATATATATATATATATATATATATATATATATATAATTTAATAAAATGTCTCCATTACAAAGCAAAAGGACGAGTATCCAATGAAATTATTGTTCAACTTATGTTATTTCAAACTATTATGAATTATCTTTTGAATTATTGTATAGCTTTAGTCATTTTCATTGGCTACAACAAAAATGTAAAAAGAGACGGAAACTTTCAATAAAAAGGCTTTAATTTTGTGTTGGAAGACACGACCTCATTTCCACGTTCAAAGAATAAAATTCTCTCTGAATCAAAGTTCTCATTTCAGATCCACGGGATATATATATATATATATATATTGAACCCTATAGTTACACCTTTCTCATTTCCTCTCTTCTTATCATTCCGATCTAGAAAAAAATGTTTTTATACATGAGTATGAAAGATGATAATCTTTTCTATTTTTTTTCACACCCAACACATTTAAAATTTTATTTTGTGTATTCTTTTTCATTCTCTTCTTCCATCCTTCCATTATTTAACTCAACCAAGCGCATGCTTATAACTATTTTTCTTTATCGACGGACACATTTTTACAAAAAACACAAAATCTTTTGAAAACCCTGAAGGAAAAAAGGAAAAAACTATTTTTCCCTTATAGGTTTAGACTGCAATCAATTTATGATATTTTGCAGAATTTGACAATTCTTTTCTTTTGCAGTCTAAAAATGAGTTACTGGGGAAAAATTTAAAATCACATGAGAGAAAAGAAAAGAAAAATCTAACAAGTAATTACTCAAAAAGAAGACATAAATTAAACTTAGTACCAAGTTACGTTGAAGCCTCCACCGCGAAACAGCCGGCGAGAGGTGACGTGGCAACTAGTAACCTCACCAGAGCTGCAGGTAGGACGAGAATCTACTCAAACAGTAAATGCACAACATATACAAAAAAGGGGTTAAGTCTCTGTTTGGCAGCTAAGAAATGCAAGAAAACTTGGATAAAAGCTAAACATATCGAGTTGTTCGTTGCAACTCAGTTGAGTCGAGCTGCTTCATTAACAAAGCTGAATTGAGAAGCTGTAAACAGTATAAAAAATTTATGATTCATAAATGTAACAAATAGGAGGTGAAGGACAGGGAAGAGAGTTACGGTGTAAGGCGGAGGAGTAGAAGAAATTTGCAGCGGTGGGGAATCGGACGGCCATAGCTGATTCTATCATCATCATCATTTCAAAATAGAACAAAAAAAAAGGAAATTAATTGGGTTCGTTGTGTCTCACTCTCCTGACATATGTGAGATTGAGCGGTGTTTTTGTGATGCACCCAGCGTTCGTTCCCCTTCGAAGAGCTAATGAGAAGATGAGGTATGAAGGTGCAGTTCATCTGCGGCGAATGAGATTTTGTATTTACGGCAATCTTACACGTGGGAAAATATGATTGGATATTGAATTTATATAAATTTTATCTGAGAGGCGAAAAGACAAATAAGCCCAGACACACTTGAATGACACCTTGTTTGGATAACCAGAAAATCAGAAGGGAAAAAAAAGGAACAAAGGGGGAACGTATCTTCTATCTACGACATTGAAGCCATCTCTTGGGACTTAAACATTGAAATCTTCTCTCTTAAACCCTCGAATTCTCAAGCCGGTAAGCCTCTTCCGGTCTCCTTCTCTTTTAAGTAATTGTGTTTGGTTGCTGAGAAAATGCTGAAACAAGAAAACTGCTTTGTTAACGGTAATTGGTGCTATCGTAATTAATCAATATTTCTTCTTTTTGTTTCTGGTTTTGCATTATTCCAGGATGCTTTGTTGCAGATATGCTCTGCCACTTATTACTAAAAGGTTGGAATCAGTTAAAATAACCCAGAGATTTAGGAATACTTCGGTACGTTTTCATTTGAAACTTCAGTATTATATGAATGTGTGTATGTAATTTTTAAAATTCAATTGTCTTTATGATGAATCGGTAAATCTCAAATGATTTTCAGGTATGCGCCGCTAAAGGTCCAAGGCCTCGATATCCTCGGGTATGGAAATCAAGGAAGAGAATTGGAACTGTCTCAAAATCAGCTAATCTTGTTGCTTGTGTAAGTTGTTCTTGCTTTTACTATCTTATGCAAGTTAAATATTAGCAAAACAGATATCCTAGTTGGTTGCTGGTTCGGAAATGAGTTAAGCTGAGTTTTTCGTGGTAGGGTGAACTTGTATACGAAATGATCGATGTGAATTTGGTTCTTTCTATAGAAATCTTGAGATATATTCATCTATTATTGGCCATGCTTATGTAGGTAAAACAACGGTCAAATGTCAAGGAGGAAGTTTACGGGGCTCTTGATTCCTTTATTGCGTGGGAACTAGAGTTCCCTTTAATTATAGTGAAGAAAGCATTGAAGATCCTTCAGAACGAACAAGAGTGGAAGAGAATAATTCAGGTAAATACCTGTCATTTCAGATTGTTTTGTAATTTCTCTTTAATTTTATCCTTGTTTTTGGCTTTCTACATTAAAAAGAGATTAGTCTAGGAAAGTGCACTTTCACTTGCAGGTGATAAAATGGATGCTAAGCAAAGGTCAAGGAAGAACAATGGGGACATATTTCACCTTACTGAATGCTTTGGCAGAGGATGGGAGACTTGAGGAGGCTGAAGAGCTATGGGCCAAACTGTTTTCTGATAATTTAGGAAGCACCCCGCGTATTTTCTTTGATAAAATGATTTCAATTTATTACCACAAGGACATGCATGATAAGATGTTTGAGGTATTGTATTGTCATCTCATTCAAGACTCTTATCACAACGATGTGCTTTATCATAATTTGAACGTACTGGTTAGCCTTTTTTTTAATCTTCCATTGATTTCTCCGAGTGAGCGTGCATCTAGTTCTGAATCTTCTGATCCCAAGTCTGGTTTTATATTCCCTTGAAACACCATGTAGCAGAGTTGAGATGGTTCGTGAAAATGAAAATATAATGCGGTATTGGCACAACTTAGGGTAGATTCCTGTAATCCAGTAACTCCAAATCTGTCATCGTTTTATTGTGCTTTTCTTTGTCAATACGATACATAGCTGTCTTCATTTCCTCGTGTTCTAAATCTTCTATTGACCTAAAACGATAATCAGTTTGGTTTTAGGCACTGGTTAATCATGCATTTATAATTTCTGAATTAATTTAGGCTCCATTTCGTTGGTGCTTTTACTTTATGATATTTTTATTTTATGATATTTTTATTTGGTTGTCAGTTCAAATTTTTTTTTTGCTTCCGACTTACTATTGGAAAGACCAAAAAGAAAAAGCATCAAACAGACAGAGCCTTAGTAATTTAAATTTTTAAATATGTTATGACCCTATGAGTGAGTAATGGATGTTCTAAACCTCTCCACACCTACTAATGTAACCAGTGCAATACTTTTATAGGTATTTGCTGACATGGAAGAGCTTGGTGTCAAGCCAAGTATATCAGTTGTTTCAATGATTGGAATTGTCTTCCAAAAGTTGTGCATGTTGGACAAGTATGATAAATTAAAGAAGAAATATCCACCTCCGAAATGGGAATATCGGTACATCAAAGGAAAGCGTGTCAGAATTCAAGTAAAGCAGCTACAGGAATTTGATAAAACTGCTAAAGGCATCACTGAGGACAAGGAAACTGAAGAGATTTCGAGTTTAGAGCATGAGGAAGTAGAAGCAAGTTCAAATAAAGTAAAGCAGCTACAAGAACTTGATAAAATTGCCAAAGTTGACACTGAGGACAACGAAACTAAAAAGGATTCGAGTGTAGAGCATGAGGAAGCAAGTTCAAATAAAGTAAAGCATCTACAGGAAGTTGATAAAATTGCCAAAGGTGTCACTGAGGACAAGGAAACTGAAATGAATTTGAGTTTAAAGCATGAGGAAGCTGAAGCAAGTTCAAATACATTCACTACTAAAGCTAATATATAACATCTTGATTGATCGATAATCTTATATCCAGCAAGCCTTGGCCTTGATAGTTAAGTGCAATAGATTTGATCTCAGCAGCAAATTAAGGAAAGGTATATGACAACCCTTTCTCATGTCATGTTATTTTGTATCAGCACTCTTTGTCAGGTTAGGTTTGTTCAGGGCTTCTTGTAAACATATGCAAGCTGTAGGATGGTAAGAATTCTTTCTTCCTTTTCTCGTACAGACAACTGAAAATTATTTGATGAAGCTGATGATTGAATTCGAGATACATAGTTGTGAATGGTTACCTAGCTTTCTTGTTGGTTATTCATGGTTGATACTTTTCTTACATCAAATTGAAGTGATAAGATTTCCGTTGATCAATTCTTAGTTTCATTGATACATAAATTTATTTGGAGGGTGAGAATATTGTAATGGGTTGAGAGTTTTGTCAAGCCTTTTGCTTTAAGAAGTTAATATATTTGATAGCCATTGGAGTATAAAAGGAGGCATATCAGAGGAAATAAGGCTGCTAATTATAAGGGTGTCATACTTAAGTCGCGCTTCACCGTATTTTTAGTTCTGGCAGCGCGAGTTTTTGGTACAGATGTATTGGTGTTGTGTTGCATGACTGACCTGATATCATTTTGCTACTACATAGGTCTTTGATGCCTTAGTCATTGGAAAGGGTGATAGGATGCCTATGATTCCATGCTGCATGATTATATTACTACATAAATGATTCCATGCAACTGGTAATGCTATTATTGCTATAAATTGGAATATTGGATAGAAGGGAATATGGCATAATATAGGAATGAGAAAAGCACCCCGTTAGCCATTTGAAAATTGAAATGTGTTACCCACATGTATAGTACCAAAACTATGAATATCAGTCCTTTTTCTTTGTCTTTTCATTGAATCTCTGCAAATTAAAGAGCAAATATAAATATCTATCCTTCTTATGGTTAATGTTATAGCAGTTGCCACAAGTTAAATTGGTTTCTAACATTAGAAATTGGAGTGGTAGTGATATTTGTTACTCTAATAATAAGATCAAGTGTTGTAGTGGTTAAATTGAAAAAAGGTGAATTCAAAAGCAGTGGCAGTAAGTTGAATTATAGTGGGAATGGAAAATGACCATCAAGTATATTAGATAAAATGTATATATAACATAATATATATAGTTAAAATTGTTTTATTTTTAAATATAAGCATATTAAATAAATAAAAGTACATATAAACTTCCCTTGTTTTTTATGAAATTTCTATTTATTCACTTAGAGATAGGATCCACTTAGATCATGTAAAATTCTTTAATTTTGTGTAAATTTAGGATCATTAGATGAATGTAAGTGGATTGTTGAAATATCACTCATTTTCTCTTATTTCCCTTATTATTTTTTGAAAACCGAGAAAAGGAAAGGAACCCTACCTTTTTTTTATAAACAATTCCTATCTAGGGGGAGAGGAAAGAGAATTTTACTTCTAATGGGTAATGAATCCACAACCTAGAAGAAGGGGATATGTCAACTGAAGCTCTTAGCCACCTGCTACAGAGATGGTCGACAAGCCTACTAAATTTTATAATTTACCTTTTGTTTATTCTTTATCTAAAAGGTATGTTTTTACTAAGCTTATCGTCCTTACAATTTTGCTTTGTTTGTTGTGCACCCTCTACAATGTTCTTCTTGCCTTCTTGTTCTTCTTTATTTTTTGAGTATAAAAAGAATTAATAAGCTCTGATATAAAAATGTTGTTTAGATATCTCGAGTCTTTAAGAAAAGAGATTTTAGACTCATATCTCTTTGGAAGTATTGTGATAACCTTCTTAACAACTCTTTTTTTTTTCACTAAAATGAGAGTTGTTGTTGTCTAGTCTTCTCTTAACTTTGGAATTCTTCTTTCAGCTTGTCCTAAGCTACTTTAGGAGTCTCACAAGCCATGATCCTTGTAAAGATCACATCATAAACTTCATTATGAATGCAAGACATGAATTTGTATTTCTTCACACACTCTTCACTGTGTTGATCTGAGTTAATGTTGACTCTCAAAGGTAGTTGATCTCTTTCAGTTTTGTTAAGAAACTAGATTGAGCTTCAATATACAACACACATTGAATTCTTTCTCATTGCTTTCAGTGCATCAGTTACATTGTTTTTATAGCAGCTCATAGAAGCTTAGCACAAGTCTAGAGGCTTTACAACTAACTCAACTAACTACTAACAGTTCTAACTCCCTTAACTAATCCTTAATTGCTTAGTTATTTTAATATTTTCTCTACTTTCTCCTCCTCCTTCAACAAGGTAAGACATACATCCTTCCGTTCAACTTGAATCGGAAGTGTCGATGCTTCCTTCCGTTCGACTTGAATCGAAAGTGTCGATGCTTCCTTCCGTTCGACTTGAATCGGAAGTGCCGATGCTTCTTCCGTTCGACTTGAATCGGAAGTGCCGATGCTTCTCTCCATTCAACTTGAATCGGAAGTGTCGATGCTTCCATCCGTTCGACTTGAATCGGAATTGACGATGCTTATCTGCTCAGTTTTCTCAATACCAAGATTCATATCACTACTTCCAAATTCTCTCGAAGAATCGTTACCTTATCTGCTCAGTTTTCTCAATACCAAGATTGATTAAAAGATACTATTTTTTTTAATAATATAGGGTGATTACAAGGAAAACAACACTCCATTTAACAACGGAGATCATTTGATAAGTTCAAAAGATACTACTTTGATCACTACCATTGATAATACAAGTAATATACATCTAATCTATTCTTCAAACGAATGGCTAATTAACTCTGGTGTACGGATCAAATGACATGTAATACTAACACATTATATCTCATTTTCCTTATTCTCGTATTGTTCAATATTCTTCTGATAAAGAAGATTATTGGTAAAGTACATGTATCCAACGATCTCTACATTCTTGATACATGAATTCTAAGACCAGTTGCATTCTCAAGTATCGGATCTTCATTTAAAGCATGTCGTCATTTGGGAATTAGCACAATGGAATGAATTTATTGAACATTTATTTTTCTTCTATGATTTATGGAATATCTCTATGGTTTCCCCCAAGGAGCCAGGTTCATTTTTTTTCAGCTTGATTGGGAGCTCGACCAAATGCTAAGGACAGTGCAATTTGGAAAATTCTCCATTTACGATTATTTAGTCTATATGGTTATCAAGGAATGAGATTACATTCAAGGCAAAGGTCTTTAATCTTCCACAGTCGATCGTCTTAATTAAATTTCGGGTGGCTTGGCCAAATTTCCCGATGTGTCGGCTTCCAAGGATGACTTTATAGCTGATATGGTTAGAGCTGAGAGATCCCTGTTACAACACCGTCTAGCCTTTCCTACTCCTGTTTGGTGCCCTCCCCCTCTCGGCTGGTTAAAACTGAACGTGGATGGTGTCCTTCCTGTGTTGGTTTTATCTATGAAGGTTGGTTGATTATTCGATATATCTCAAGAGCCATAAACATCAAGGCGGACTCTCTTGCTAAAAGAGGGATATGTTAACATCTTCGTTTGGCAGTTGGTTATATGATCTCTAGTATCCATACTATATTTTTTGCAGGTTAGATTTATGTGAGTAGAGGTTAAACAGGTTCTTGGGGGTGTGAAATTCATTTGTTATCATGGAAGGGATTTAGTTGATAAAATATTTTAATCCTGCATTTTGGTTTCTTGTCAGTGTGACAAGCGTCGTAATTATCAAATAAATAAGCTAAGAATGTAGTATAGAAAAGAAACTGTCGATCCGCAGAGACTTAGAAATTTTCAATGTTGGTTTGAATTAATCTTGATCCAAGAAAACTGCAAAATAAATTGAATAAATTGAAATAAATAAAAATAAGAAAAATAAGAAAAGTAAATGATTCAAAATAATTATGATGAGAGATAGCTTCCAGTTTCGCTTCGTCTTAATCGGTTTCAATCATTGAAATAGATTTTACTTCGGGATTATTGCCTGTTACAGTCTACAAGGCACAACCCTTGTATTTGCTATTCTCTCTTGGTTTCCCTTAGGGATCTCCGCTAAGTTTGTTCTTAGGAAGTTGAATTTGCTACAAGCTGACACTTCTCCTCAAAAGTAAATCAAAACAACATTCAAGTCAATGTGCACTCTTTGAATCGAAAGTGTTGCTATATTTAAAGGAAGAGTCGATTGCCAATCCTAGTTTATAGAAAATGAAGAAAGATACATTAAGGTATGAAGAGCTTTTTAATTCTCATGAAACGGATTAAGTTGTTGCTAAGCTTTTGGCTAATAGGAAAATTAACTAAGCATGATAAAAATCATACTTAGCATTAAAAAGAAAGAAAGCTAGAAAAAAATAGAATAAAGATGAAGAAGAAAAAGAACTTTATAGAACTGAAAACCTTAAAGCCAACCCAAATTCAATCCATCTCAAGCTTCAGTGGGATATTTATAGCTTGAGGTAATCTAAAGAAAATAAAATGCTAAAAGATAATCCTAAAATTATTCAAATACTTTAAATCTTAAATAATATCAATCTAGAATCCTAAATAATAGCATATTAGAATCCTATTAATAACACGCTAGAATCCTAATTAAAATAATAATAAATCCAAATATTTAAATTCAATTATAATTCTTTGAATCCTAAAGAGTTTTCCGTCTGTCATTCTTTTCTTCTTAATTCTATTGACCGGGTCATCTTCTAGAAGTTATCACTGACTGGACTGTAGATTCTGTCACGTTGACATCGTCATGCCCCTGTGTTTAGCCTTGATTCCATAAAATAAAAAAAATCTGCAAAACTCGCCCTTTAAATGTTGTTTTCTGGAAAATATAGTCATGCACGGAATTAAACATAAACGACCTAATTTAACAATATCAAAGAGATAACACAGAGTAATTAGCAACAAAATGTTAACAAAATAAAACAATCATCAAATTCCCCCTCACTTATTCAATGCTTGTCCTCAAGCATACTTCAATCCCTATTTCCATCATTTACCAAAGATTTACACATAAAAAAAAATTTTAAATCTCAAGTTCAAGCATGGATTGAAAAAGTTAGACAAGATAATCAAATAAAATTGACAAGCTAATCCAATGAACAACAATTAACCAAATGAATAAGGGTTAAATACGCAGAGATTTTGTTATTTGCTATTTTCTTATGAGATGAAATCGAGCCAAGTTTAGTTTCCTCATGAGAAGCAATTGGCAGAGTGTGAGTTTTATTTGCCTCCCCTTTTGTATCACTCACTTTTTTTTGTATTTAAACGCTTATTTCCTTTCTCTTTTTTCGTTTTTCATTTTTTAAATTCCTCCCTTTTTCTACGCTTCTCTCTACCTTTTTAACTCTATAGTCTCGACTCGTCACTGAACCTTTAAATTGGAAACGAGATGACAACCCAAGCACCCGGTTCTCCAATCTGGTCACATTCAAAGGGTCTACCACTCACAATCGTCTCACAAAGTTATACACCTAAAGATAACATTAATCACTAACGAAATAAGCACAAGCTCACATTTAAGCAACATTTTCATCAAATCATCTTATTGACTTAAATCAATTATTCATGCATAACAAGATTAACTCAAGCTTGTAAACAAGGAATTATGACAAAACTAACAAGTCAACCAACGCAAGCAACAATCATAAGTATCGAAATATCTCATTAAACCAACATGAATAAGCAAGGTGAAATTCTCACTCTACCCCCTTACTTAAAGTGTATTATCCCAATACGAAAATTAAAGCATATGCGAAGGAATAGAGATATTCCCATTGTTTAGTGTCAGTCGTGATCGCGACCCCGAGATCAACAGTGGTGATGAAAAAATTTCTTCAATGTTCGACTAAAATTACTCGATCTGATTCCATCTAAGTTTGTTTGAAAATATTTGGGGTACCTAAAAATAAAAATAAATAAATAAACAAAAATATAAAAATAAAAAATAAATAAAATAAATAAAATAAAATAAAACGAGTTACCTCCCATTGGAGCACTTTTGTTTAATGTCATTAGCTCGATGACCTGGTCCATACTATAGGTTCTACGAGAGATACTTCCTCCACTTCATATGCTTTTCCATCTAAGAAATTTCTTATGAGAAATTCTACGATAATAAAGTTCATTCATTTTATCTTTGTAGATTTGAACATTTTCATAAGCATCTTCGGATCTTTCCCAGTTTTAAATCTTGTCCAAAATAATGGCCGACAATACATATTCTTTACCAAAAAATGAGTTCTACATATGTTCTGGCAATGGTTTCAACACTACTTTTGGTTCTTGTAGAATAGAAGGTAAAAATTTAGTTTGTGAAGGGGTTAACTGTAAATTTGAATCAACAAACGAAATATTTTTCAACTCCCTTGATTTGTCATCTTCATCCCCTAATTCTTTGTACAAATCATCATAAAGATTAGTTTCCGTAAATTCATCGACAACAAGTTCAATAACATTAATGAAACTAATGTTCACAACATCATATGAATACTTCATCTCCTTATAAACGTCAAATTTAACAACCTCACTATCAAATTCCATGGTAAGAAATCCATTCCTTGCACTAATTTTGGTATGTGTCGTGCTTAGAAAGGGAAGACCAAGTAGCATTTCGGAAGAAGTGTTGGCTCGATCATTTTCCATGTCAATGACATAGAAATTCGCTGGAAAATTAAATCGTTTACCTTAAGTAGTACATTCTCAAGAAGGCCTTTAGGATAAAGACAGATCGATCAATGAGCTAAATCGTTACTCTAGTTTCCTTCAAAGGCTCAGCAGAAAGTGAGTTGTAATTAGAAAGATGCATAACATTTATGGAAGCACCCAAATCACACATAACTCGTTTAATTCCTTTCTTATCGATTTTACAAGGAATAACGAACATACCTTGATCCTTTAATTTCAAAAGAAGCCTACGTTGATAAACAACTAAAACGTTTTTTTACTAAATTTACCTTCTTATTGCTAGTAAGTCTTATTTTTGGTTGCGTAAAGATCATTCAAGAATCTGGCATACCTTGACACTTTTTGAATTGCTTCAAGAAAAGGTATTCTTATATCTACTTTTCAAAAAAAAAACACCAAGAATCTCCTTCTCCTTGGTTTGCTTATCACGTTTAACTAACCTCAAAGGAAAGGGAGTTCAAACGACATAGGGAGATAACATGGAAGAATTTGGCGATACATCTTTCTTTTTTCCTTGTGATCTTGCATCAACCTCTTATTTTTCTTCTTGGGATCTTGATTCTTCTTCTTCTTCTTTTTCCCCTGTGTCAACTTCTTTCTTCTGGAACCTGCGACAACATATTCTTTTTCTTAGGATCTTACAACATCATCTTTAAGGACTAGTGTGACATCATCTTTATGGACTAATACAACAACAGTGCCACTTTGGAGGGTGATGGCACCAATGTTTTCTCGTGGGTTAGCCTCGGTTTGAGATGGTAACTTTCCTTGGGATTCCAATTGACTCACAACTTGTGCTAGCTGACTCATTTTCTTGTCAAGCTCTTGAAAATATGCCTCAGTCTTTTGTTGAAGCTTCTCTTGGGATAACACCAAATGTTCGACGATAGATTCTAATGATGATGTTAACGTGGTGGTGGCCTTGGTTAATATGCTTGATTTGGTCTAGGATTTTGTGCATAGCTGAAGTTTGGATGATCGCTCCACCCCGAATTATATGTATTTGTGTTAGGATTATAATGTATTTAAGGAGGTCCTAGAAAATTGCCAACTGCATTCACTTGTGAGGTAGCGTCTTCTTGTAACATCGGACAATAATCCGTGGGATAGTCCGACACTGTGCATATTCTATAAAATCTAGCGGTACCTGTTTTGCTTGTAACAAGAGATTGAACAATATCAACCAACTTATCAATTTTATTTTTAATGAAATTGTACTTATCTCATGAACCTAACGAGTAGGTTCACTAGAAGAGCCAAGTTGTTGAGAGTTAGCGGCCATGGTAAAAATTAGATTTTTGGCCACATACAAAGTCATATTCACAAGTGCTCCTCTACTAGATGCGCCAATCATCTTTATCTCCAAAGGAAGTTGCCATTCATAGAAATATTGAAGATGAGTCTATTCGATTAACCCGTACTGTGGAAAACTAGTACAAAGTTTCTTGAATTATTTCCAATAGTCATATAACGACTCTCCATTATTTTGTCGGATTCCTAAGATGCTTCGCCTTAATTCACTCGCTTTCACAATAGGGAAGAACGTGTCAAGAAAAAAAAAGTCATGTCGGCCCAAGTAGTAACGGAATTAGACGGTAAGTAAATTAGCCAATCCTTAACCAAATCAACTAAGGAAAATGGAAAAGCGTGAAGTTTAATATGATCCACGGATAATCCCTGTGGTTTCATGCTTGATTAAACCATATGAAATCCAGTAAGGTGTCCGTGAGGATTTTCACTTGGCAATCCATGTAATGTAGGTAGAAGATGGATCAAGTCGGTCTTGAGTTTGAATGGTGTTTCTTCATGCGGTAATGTGATGCATAATGGTTGTTGATCGATAGGTGCCACACGTAATTATCGAATTGTCGGATCAACCATAGGGATCGGTTTATTGTCGTGTAGGGATTCTACGTCAGATGTTGTTTAGGGATCAGACGTTACTCAAGAACTGGATCAGGTAGGTTTCGTTCTTGTTGTTGTTGTCTTCTTTCCCTAAGCGTGTGTGCGTGTAGTTTCAAGTTAGTGCTTCGATCTCAGGTTCAAAATCAACTAGGTTGCCCTGATTCTTTCTGGTCATAAATCAAAACAAACAATATCAGTAATTTACCGAAGTCCCTAACAACAGCGACAATTTGACAAGCATCGTAATTGTCAAATAAATAAAGTATTTTTCTCAAATAAATAAGTTAATGATGTAGTATAAAGAAGAAAGGGTCGATCTGCATGGACTTAGAAATTTCCAACATTGGTTTGAATTGATATTGATCCAAGAAAATTGCAAAAGAAAAATAAAGGGCTTTTAGAAATCTAAATTAAAATAAATAAAAATAAATGATTGAAAATAATTATGATGAGAGATAACCTTCAGCTTCGCTTCGCCTCAATCGGTTGTAATGTTTGGATGGCCTAACCCCTTCTATCTTGTGAACTAATTTTCAAAGTCAATCCTTGGAATTTAATCCTTGTTTGGATTAACAATAACTATTGGTGTTTACACCAATGCTACTGTAAGTGTTGGAAAAGCCTGTGCTCAAACTATGGTGTCTCAATGAGAGTCGAACCTGATCTGGATTTCCCTTAGCAGATTGCCACTAAGTTTTTTTTAGGAATTTGAATTTGCTACAGGCTGACTCTTCTCCCCAACGATAAATCAAAACAACATGCAATACAATGTGCACTTTTTGGATTGAAAGTGTTGAGATATTTAAAGGAATGGCCGATTTTCAATCCTAGTTTGCAGAAAATCAAGAAGGATAACTGAAGGTATGAAGCACTTTTCAATTCTCACGAAACCGATTGAGTTGTTGCTTAGTTTTTGGCTAATAGGAAAATTAGCTAAGCATGATTGAAATCATACTTAGCATTAAAAAGAAAGAAAGCTATGAAGAAAAATAGAATAAAGCTGAAGAAGAAAAAATAACTTTATAGAACTGAAAACCCTAAAGCCAAGCCAAATTCAGTACATATCCCAACCTTCACCCTAAAGGGGTATTTATAGCTTGAGATAACCTAAAGAAAATAAAATGCAAAAAGATAATCCTAAAAATATTCAAATACTTTAAATCCTAATTAATAGCAATCTAGAATCCTAAATAATAGCATATTAGAATCCTAGTTGATAACAAGCTAGAATCCTAATTAAAATAATAATAAATCCCAAATATTTAAATTCAGTTATAATTCTTTGAGTCC